TAGGGCGAGGCCTATGTTCAGCAGTGGACAATTAACTGTTCATACATTAACTGAAATTCTAAACAACCTAATGAATACTAGTCAATTTTAATTATAAAAAAAAAGTAAAAATATTTTTCAGTTTCCTAATCTGCACAAAAATAATTTCAGTATTAGGTACTTGTTTATATAATATAGTCATGGTGAGAGTATTCACACTTACCCCCTTATTCATAAAAACTAAAACTTTCTACGAGTACAAAGCTATTTTAAATATTACACTATTTTGTCACGTTCTTTCCAATTAGAAATGTAGCACCAAAGAAAGAGATAGAATAGTTCAATATTTAAAATAGGTTTAAATGAGGCTTGTCGTTTTTATGAATAGAGGGGTCAAATTATAGTTATACATTGTAGTACATATACGTCAATCAGGTGTTACCTACTTTCACCGTAACGACAACAGTCAACAAATGTCTATGTCTACCCCATTAGGAGTTATAGTTGCGAGCATATTTATTTCTTTATTTTTCTTATTTAAATTTTAAAAACACATTTTAACAATTTCATACGAATTACATAAAAACAATAAACAAAGTTATAAAATTTTATCTGTACTGTTTATGGTAAAGAAAAACCGTTAAGCATCAGACATAACATAACATGCATAACACAAATACTATCGCTCTCAATATATCGATACCTTTCTTAACTGGTCAACATCAAAAGGTTTTACCCAATATTTTAATCAGTCAAGTTAGAATTGCTCTATTAGATTCCATACAGTAACCGATTACCTATTCTGTAAACCTGTATGCTTTGTTTTTAATTACAATTTAGCTCGTAAAAGAACAATAATCTCTATTTTAGTAGAACATCTTCTAATTCTTTTTTTTATCAGATAGACATACATCATTATCATCAAATCAGTCTTTAACTGTCCACTGCTGAACAAAAGCCTCCCTCTTAGGGTGTTTTGCCAGTAGTTGCCACGCTTGGCAGGCGGATTGACAACCACAGTTAGGTTTTAGGGATGTTTTCAGACAAACGCTGCTTCCCAACTCTAGCCCTCTCTTAGTCGCCTCTTACGACACCCACGGGATAGGAAGGGATTGCTTATTCTATGCCGGGACTAAACGGTAGTACGTACTAAGTGAAACGTAGACATACACACTAAAAAAAATTTTATAGATTCTTATGACACCGAAATGATGAGTGGCTGGTTTCACACCAAAATCCCGAGAATAAAATTTCATTATACGTCATAGCTCTATTCCAGTTTAACAAAAAGCGTTTCCAAAGACAAGTCGTTTCAAGGACTAATATTTTATTTTTTTCCGTTTTTTTTTTCGAGTGCCGACAACGATCTTGTTGCGGCAAAAGATAACGGGTCTTTTTATCATAATGTTCTCGTGTTTCAAGATAAGCTACTATATTTTTTGTTAAAATTACTCTGTCAACGAGACGCTGTTTCTTAATATTCAAACCATGTTAGACATTTGGTATTTATATCCACGTGATGACACACAGCGACATTGCTGCGAAGACTAAAATATTTATATAATTATCTAGTTGAAACACGTCATACACGTCATTAGTTAAAACCACAGATCAACGCCCTCTATCCTTTCATAAACATTTAAAATTCAATTTATTAAATTTGTCTGTTTCTAAGTATCTAAATCTGTAGACAACGCACGATTCATTTCTATCACTATTTGACATTTTTTTTAATACTGAGTGAATAATTGTAGTAACATAATATAAAACTTACTGTTTATTCAATCATGATAAAAGAATATTACACCGCCGAGATTTTTTAATGATGATAATAATGTTCAATTTTATTATACAATAATTAAGTAAATCTACCAGTGGGAGACTTTGTACAAAAGTCGATTGCTTGGGTACCTCTGTCCCATTCGTGTTTCAACCGCGAAGCAGTGGTGTTTGCATGGTTGTGTTTCGGTTTGAAGGGTGGGATATGGCGTGAATTTACTGGGTACAGAGGAATAACACCTGAGTCCTCAGGAATGGCAACGCATGGGGGATATCATGAGCGAAACAGTATACTCTTTTATGTTCATGGTACTGCTCATGTCTATAGGCGACGGTTACCACTTTCCATCAGGTGGGCCGTCAGCTTGCTTGCCATTCTAAGATGTATAAAAAAAAAACAACACAATATTTACTAAACTCTCAGAGATTACAAAATAATAGGCACAAATTTAATAAATTTTGAAATATAAATCATAGATTGTTTTTTTTTTTCTTCTCAAAATTATAGCTTAAGTATAATTTTTATTATATAAAACAATTAAAACGCTAATATTCATATTTGTACTCGATATAAATATGTACAAAGTGTTAAGTATTTATAATAAGATTGGGTCGTTATTCGTACCATGTTTATTTGACCTTTCAATCATTACTTTTTGGTAAACATCCATTTAATTAAGCGATAACTTACATAGTTGTGCAAAATAAAGATATTAAATTTGATTATAATTTATTTTAATGACACATTACTAAGTATAACTAGTACTTATAGAAAAATAATATCAACGCAAAAAAAAAAGACAAAATATAATAAGCGCCATTTAAGTAGTCAATTTTATAGAAGAACAAAAAAGGGTACAAAAGGCAAAATATGTGATGATAGGTAGTATAGTAAATGTCTAACAGAGTAAAACAGTTAATATCACATCTTTGTATTTTGACATGATTTATAACAACACAAAAATAGAAAACAAAAAAAAAATTCTGGAGGATAAACCAAAAAATGTCTGTAGTGGTTAAATTGCCACCAACTTGCTCTAATTAATTTATGATAAAATATTATTATAAATATATTTTTTTCTTTTAGTAAACTTAATTGTAAGCATTTCTGAATATTTTTTTTTTGTGGATCTACTACACAGTTCGTAATGCAATTTTAGCTAAGAAGAACGGCAAAATACTCAATTGTTGTTTCTTTCTTCTTTCAAATAAAAGTTGTTTACAAAAAATTAGTAAACTGACTACCATAAACTTCACATTGATAAACAAATTTTCAAACAATAATAGTATTCTATAACAGACTAGGCACTACTAACACCACGCCGGCACCAATTTGGATACTACACAGAGATGACGCGTTTTTTAAAATAAACGATTACATAAAAAATATCGATACCCAAATTAATATGACAATCAGTAAAGGTAGATATCAATTGTTATAAAATATACGAGAGTGTGGGCCTCTAGTATATTTTATAAGGAATGACCTATTTAAAATGGAAAAAGAAATACACTACTTTTTATTCTAGTCAATCAACATATCCCTGTCATACGGGCGAAGTGGAGGGAAAAAATTAATACATAATTACCTAATATAGTTAGTTGCCAAACACCTACATGTAGGGGGGAAAGGGATTGTTAGTAATGGAGACTGAGAATCCCATTGCTAGCAATATACCTAACCAGGTCGACCTCCTAGCGGTTCCCCCTGGGAACTATCATGGTTAATTCCTGATGAATTCATCATGATGGGCTAACTGGTCTGTTTTCATTCTCATTTATCACCCCTCACTGGTGCTCCGCTAGCGTATCTCGTTAGCGCAGACGGAGTTACAATTCCATATTCACCCAAAAAAAAAACATCTACATGTAGGCATATTATATTTTTTCAAGTATATGGACCATTTTTGTTATTTTAACGTTGTAATTTTTAAGAATGTTCACACAGATAAATAACAATAATTATTTTAAACATCGATTAGGTAAGTGAATCCACATTGTAAATATCACTTAATATTTATTCATGTCTATAAATAAAATAAGTATCAATATTGACCAATAGCGATAACATAGGTAATTGCTAACTTTCGTAAATACAAAATGTACGTATCTTAGGTAAAAGACAAATTTTATTCTAAATCGTGAACAACTTTCTTTTCTACATTTTCTGATTAATAATTTGGGATTGGCACTAATGATAAGGTAATATAATACAGTTATTTATTAAAAGGCAAGTAATTATAACTTTATATTTCATTTACATTTTCAGTTGTATCTTCAACAAACTTTTATGTTTACCTCATAGTTGATTGGTAGATAAATAAAACCTATGGTGTTATATTCAAAATGAGCACTTTAATTATACAGGTACCTACGTGAAAGTTAAATAAATAAATAAAATATATTTGTCTATTGTCTTAATTCTGCTCTTATGAAAGATATTTCGCAGATACCTCTAGGAAGTCTTCATGTAGCACAAACCAGGTCTTTGTTCATTTATAATACATACAAATGGATTTATAATCTAACAAATACTAAAGTAGATACAGAACAAGCTGTAGACTTCAAAATAATATTTACATTAAATTTATTTTGACGATATCAATACGATGTAGTCCTCGATTCACTTCTCATACTAAAAATCCTTGGTAATATTTAGTAAATAATGCAGAATTACTAAAATAATCATGTATTTACACAAATTAGACAATAATTAATTACTGAAAAAAATTCTTGGCTTTCGAGCTAAGTAAACCCATGAAAATACCTGAGAGATTTACTAGCCCATCGGCGAAAGTATAAAGGTACGGATTCTACTTAATATCTAAGAGGACTATTGAAATTTGTGACTTTATCCCATGTATTTAAGCGAGATAACTGTATAGTCAACGGCGGCCTTAGGGGGTGGCGAACAGGGCAATTGCCCGGGGCCTCGCGTAACAACTCAAGCAAATCTTAAACAACGAGTGAATGGCATTTTATCTAGTGACAAGTTACAAAAACTTCCTGAATTAGGCATTTTAATCGCGAATGAACAAAATTACCAACACTAAAATATACAAATAAAAAAATTGTAATTCCGTGTGGGAAAAAAATAAATGCATATTTCTTACGGTGCTCGACAGCTCTTAGACGCTACCCTATAGACTTGTCAGTACCTGCCTTGGTAGATTTTTAAAAACAAAAAACCTTATTAAAATATAATTTAGAAAAATGTTAATTAACTAAACTAAAATTCTTACCTCCAGGAAACCTGTGTGGAAATATTCTTCCATGCCTATTGATTAGCCATGGATATAGTTGATAGGACTCCCTTGGTACCGGTGCGGCAGGGTGAGGTGGGGGGTGTGGTGGGATAGGACCTCCAAACCCTTGCTGCTGATGAGCAAGTGCAGCCGCTAACGCCGCGCCTTGAAAGTGCGCAAGGAACTGATGATGATGGCTTTGAGCATCTAAGTATGGCAACCTCTTCAGGTCAGGAGCTGGAAAAACTGCAGGTAATGCACTGGGCCGTAGCAAAGGGCGTGGAGATGGACTTCTAGGGGAGGCAACCGGGGATGGAGAGCCAGGACTCGCAAGTGGCGGCGACGCATGTTTAGGTCTCTCTGAGCCGCCAACTATACTGTCTATACTGAATCCTATTTTTGGCTTCGATGGCACCGCCACCACAGGGGTCGGTGCGAGAGGCATCATGCTTTTGCACACAACGGGTCCGTCACAAAAATATTCACCAAATCTCAGAAGCACATGTTACACAGAGCACAATCCATTTTCGTGACGCGAGTACGCGATACGAACGCCGTGGTGGCGCGCGACCGAATGAGCCCTCCACATTCAATTTCTACCCGACCAGTGGGAAAAAAAAATAACGAACATGGACGGCTGTGAGCCGATTGGTCGACTTAATCCGATGGGTGTTTCTACATGCACTCTTTATTCCGTTATCTGCTTTGCTATTGGCCGAAAGGCGTGTAGAGGTGTTATTTGAATTTCGAAGGCTTTCCGAGTGGGCGGTTTGAGTTAAGAACTTGTGATTTAACCAGTCAAATGGGGTTTTACATCACATTTGTCCGCGATGATGGGGATGTTCGTGCTTTTGAATTTTGTTGGATGTGATTCAATTAAGGCACCGATTGGGTAGGTTGGTATACCTTGGTTTGCTTGTTTTTAGCGTGCCATACGCACGGTGCCCGTGCGTACCACTCGTCCTCCGTATTTGGACTGTAATACTTTTTAATTGACTGTGATGCTTTATTGGCTGAAATGTCGTGCTGTAGACACCTACGTTATAAATTCCCAGAGATTCCGTCGGTGAAAATAAATTATTCCGTACAAACGGGTATCGGACTTGTTCTCGCGTACCAATTTCTATAACTGCCTATTTTGTTGATATTAAAATTATTGTTACCATACGACTACTTTATGGCGTTGATATAATTTTTAATGAAAACCGATAAGATTTAAATTTCACGCAAATTTTACGCCATTATAAACTAAACAGTGTTTGGTAAATAGTTTGATTTTTTAATTAAAATTGTTATTGGCCGCCATCTAAATATGAAACTAATTGATTTTTGTTTTAGTGTTTTGCTTATAACAATGTTATTATTAAATTTATCGTTGCTTTTACAATATATTTTTAATATTATATTATTCTAAACTTTATAAAGTGATTAGCTAACCCGGCAAAAGGTGTTTTACCCTCGACCGCTGCCTGCCAACTTTCCTATCTCTCAAGTTGAAGCGAATAAAGCCCTTTTATAAAACTTCATTAAAATCTTTTGAGTAGTTTTGGAGAGTAGCGTTAACAAATATCGTGATATACCCACAGAGATTTTACATATTAAGATAATTTTTACATTACGTGTATCATAATTCTAAACAAATAATTACAGTAAATAAATACCTTACTCTCTAGCTATCTAGATCCTCATATGCCTGATATTCTGGATCCAATCTATGACTGCAAACCAGGCGAATGCCCAGAGTAGAAAAAATGAAAGTAGAAACAATTGAAGATTTTTTAAAAAGGGCAGCAAAATACCTTTTTGCCTAAAACAGCTAAATTATCGGGTCGGATCGGGCACAATAGATAAAGTTTGAGAAAATAATAACCCACAATACACTAATACTAAATGTACCTAGTATCTGGATGCATTAGGTAACTCTCTTTGACTATTTGCTTACATTGTACTGTATGAATGACTAAAAAAACTTTTAAATTACCTACTACAGCAATAATTTTATTTATTTATCTTCCTATTTAGATAGATTAAATACATACATATCTACTTATCAATATCTACTACCTATCTTAATACTCTATAAAAATATTATAAATTATTATTTAACGTTTAATTAAAAAAAATACATGTGTAATATATTTTTGTATTACATATAGACCAACTTACAAATAACCTGAGTACCTAATACAATGATATAAGTTAAGTAGTTTAATTAAACACGATTAAGTAACCTATATGTATAGTGATTCCATTGTGGCAAACATTATTATTAGGTATATTAAAAAATATTTTGTTTTTACAAACTTAATTGATAAAAATAAACTGAAATAACACTTTCCTACAATCAAAATTATTTTAAATCTACTCTAAGTAACAAAGACATCATACCGAATTTGCAGAATTACCACCTAAAATAAAAAAATAAGTTTCGTTATCAATATCTCTTACTTCATTATTATTTAGATAATATTAAATAATAAAGGAGACTTTTAACTTCTATTATAAACTAAAAATAACTAAAATAAACATATAATAACATAGTATAAATAAATTATATCGAAAATGTAATAAAAATCTGATCCGTATCGTATAGTCTTTTTAATTTCTATATATCGTTTTAAAATATTTGTAAGTCTAGATATAGCAGGACTTTGTAACACTATCTTTAGGCTGGCCATTCCTTTCGCCATAAAGGCAACCTATTTCTCAATCTCGGTCCCAAAGAAGCTCTAAACAAAACTACTGACTGTACCAATAAAGTCACAGAATTTTAGTTTAAATTAAATTGTCTACCTATGCGAGTGCAGTCGATAGAAGTAGATATGTATAATCTAACCTGCAACTTACACAGAACTTGATAGGTACCACATTAATATAAATAGAAATAGGTTGGTACCTAAACATTTACTAAGCAAGAAATAGCAAATTAGTGTTTCTCAAATTTAAATTAGAGAGATTTCTCCATGAGATTAACTGATGGATAAAAAATACCTCAAAACCCTAAAACTGCATCGTTATTCTACAAACAAGGTACAGAACACATAATGGTGCGTATCTGTTCACACTTGTGTATTTTTTTTACAGATTCTCGATATCTTTACTAAATAATCTTTCTCTATGATAGGTGGGTAGGTAGAAACATATGCCCAAGGGCCCAAGCAGGTGTCATAAATTAAGTAACTATTCGATTTAAAATTTTTATTGCTTGCCTCTAAATTTAAAGGTAAAAAAGTAACTACATTCTAAATTGTAAAATATTCTAGATGAGGTACTTAATAATAGCTACCTTTGCATTTCATTAAAATTTGTGTAATCTATTTGATTAAAAATTATTTTAAATATTATAGGATAATGCTTTGAGATTGATTTTTTTTTTTTGCTCTCATTTTGATGAAATTTTTAATTCCAACTTATTAATGGTAATATAGTACCATTTTTTTGCAATAAGAGACGAACAAATACATATAATGAATTATTGTCACGCTAATCAGGTAACTTCACGGCCGTTGTAGCTGTTAAGGCCATCTGCTATAAACAACAGTAGACTTATTCGAAAACAAATAGGTAACTTGATACTTGTAGAATTATTTTCATGTTTTTCTTCTTTTGCACTAATGTATTTATTCATAACTATCATCATATCATCCGTTAACTGTCCACTGCTGAACATAGGCCTCCCCTATAGGGGGGGGGGGGGTTTACCAGTAATTCCACGCTTGCCAGCCGGATAGACAACCGTAGTTAGACTTCGGTAATGTTTTAAGAGAGACGCTGCTGCTCATCCTTCGACCATTAAGTTCTCTTAATCACCTTTTACGACACCCACGAGAAAGAAAGGAATAGCCCATTCTATCTATATCATATTTAATTACTTTCTACAATATACAAGGGATGAAATTAATAGGTATACACTGTACATATTCTTACTCTAACTCTACACGGGGATAATTTAAACGAGATCTAGAAATAAAACATTTTTTCAGCGAGAATGTTTCTAATCGTAAAACTTCAATTAATGTTGTTAAAGAAGAAAAAACGATAGACAAGAGTTCTTAAAACCAGCTTGTATGCATGAGTTATGAAAATAGAAGAAGCAAGAAATACTTGTATAGATATAAAAGTTTTTAATAATTAGTCCTTTTGTGCCTGCCCGTAAAGGTATTACACGTAAACACATAGAACAAAGTGCCGACCGACTTGAAAATCACCGCTCCGTCACAGTGGTAGACAAACCAATTGATCGTATAAATTGATCATGGAAACTCAACAACATCACAGAGATAACTCAGTGAATACTAAGGTTAAAGTTGACTGGAAGAGAATGCTTTTTGCATTAAGTCTTCTATACACATTATATAGTTGTATACTAAAAATTATAGTTAAGTCAATCATTTATTTGTACAAACATAAGTTGATTGCATTACATGATATTAGGTACCTATATACAAAATTAAGATCGCTATGTTCCGCCGTTATTGAGCATACAAATATTACAAAACCCCTCACCAAAACCATTAAATACAATATCGATCATCAATTCAATAAATATAAATCTAATTATTATGTATTGTTAAAATTAGGCATTACAATAATTAATATCACAGTCATGAAAAGTTATGATAAAATTCAACGATAAATTTACTAAAATTGATAAAAAAACGATTCAATTTATTTTATGCCAAGTAATAGGAAATTATAACAACCAAATCAAATATAATATACAAAAATAATATAAAAATTAAAAATTTTATAACTTTGTACAAAGTCATCAGCTGGGGTACCGACCTCTGTCCTACTCGTGTTTCTGCCACCAAGTAGTGGCTGCGTTTCTGTTTGAGCACTAGGATATGGCAATAAAATTACAAGGCATAATATCCTCAAAGATGATATAACATGAAGGTTAGCATTGGTATCATAGAATATTCTATGATATCAATAGTTGTTATTCATGTCTATAGACAACAGTTTTTATTTTTTATCATGTAGGCGGACAGTTTGTTTGTTATGTCAAGGTGCATATAAAATTGATCTTACTTAATTAATTGTCACTTTTATAAAACAAACAATTTTATTTTTAGTAATAATTTAAACAGAGCTGTAAATGCTCTAATAACAAATTAAAAAAATAATCTTGTAGGCAAAACAATAATTGGAGATTTTAAAAGCAACATATGAAGTTGTAGTAAAAAGCGAAAAATTTATAAACATAATTAACTATCAGACCACTTTTTAAATAAATCATTAAAGAATATTGAAAACATAGTATCATAATAAATATGATTTCTAAATATCATACAACAAATTTAATATCCACGTCTATCTGTTTCTCGTTCGTTTCTTTTAAACTACTAATATTCGGGTTACCTATACTATTAATTAAGGATTTTTTTAAGGAAAGTTGGTAGACACAATTTACACACATACGAAGCTAGAGGGCGTTACTAGTAGTTCATATTAAATCAAACTCTACCTCAATACACATAAAAAAACGTGATCAATGGTAGCCTGTATAAACAAAAGCAAAGACCTTAGGAATTACACATTTCACAAGATTACCGACTCGCACATTATCG